ACGGATCGAAAAAGTGGTCGTCTACTACGATCTCTCCATCCTACCGATATTCATGAAGTTTCAAAAACACGACCAGGTGATCTGGGATTTGGATGACGTGGACGAGGAAGCGTTCACGTCTTGGGTGGAGTCGCACCTCGTCAGTTTCTTGGAGACTTACCTGCGGATCGAAGAAGTCGATCAATACCAGCAGGGGAGCCTATGCACCGACCCGGTGTGTGGGATGCGAATTCGCAAGTCGGCGGCCGCAGCGACTGCAAATTACGACGGTGCGACGTTCTATTTCTGTGTGGAGGGGTGCCGGGACACGTTTGTTAGCGACCCCAAACGCTACGTGGACACACGATAGCGCGCCTTCACCAGATCGCCAGTGTTCCCTTGTTTCAACAGGAGTGCTCAATGATCGCTATGATTCGCTATCAACATACAATCGCTATTGCCGCTGCTTTGATGGCGATTGTAGTCGCCTCTATCGCGTATGCTCAAGAGAATACGGCGAGTCGTTCGTCGCTTGACCAAGCAGATCTTGTAGCCGAACTGCAAAACCTCCATGCCAAGGTGGCGGCCCTGGAAGCTGCGCTGGAGACACAGCATCAATCTCTCTACGGGGCTCCAACTTCGACAGATTCTTCTACTGCGTCTATGCAGCAAATCGGCGGAATGGGGGTGGGGGCGACACAGGGTAAGGCCGCAACGCAAGCCATGCCAAGGGATTCGGACAGCTCACTGTCAGGGATGGGAATGGGCATGATGGACGAAGGCATGGGCGGCATGGGAATGATGTCCATGATGAAAGGAAAGAAGGGAATGATGGGCATGGGTATGATGGGAATGAACCCTGCCATGGCATCGGACTCAATGGCCGGGATGGACATGCCATCGGCATTGCCCGGATTCCCCGGAGCGTCGCATGTGTATCACATCGGCCAGACCGGGTTCTTTCTCGATCACCCCGAGCACATCACGCTGTCCGACGAGCAACAAAAGAAACTCAACTCGATCAAGGAGTCATCGTTGCTGGCGACTTCAACGGCCCAGCGCGAAATCGCAGAAGCCGAACAGGAATTGTGGAAGCTGACGGCTGCCGCTGAACCAGACATCAAGAAAATCGAAGCAAAAGCCAAAGAGATTGCCCAGCTCCAAGTCGCTACTCGGATTGCATTCATCCGCTCTGTCGGAGAAGCCGCCAGTGTACTGACGAAAGAGCAACGTCAAGCGTTGATTGGAGAAGGAAANNAGTAGTGCCGAAACCAAACAGGACAAATAGTTACTGAACCTAACAGAAAGCAGGAGACCCTCATGCAAACGAAAACCAAATGTATTGGTGGAGTCAGTGTGGTTGCGGCAATCGCTCTTTGCATAGCGATCGCATTCACCGGACTGGCACACGCTCAGGACAAGAGTCACGATTCGCACAGCGGGACGCACGATCACGGTCCCGAAATGAAGATGATGAGAATGACGCAGATCAAGACGCAGGCCGAAGCGGAAGCACTCAAGCCGGGCGATTCGATCGCGATGGTATGCAGTATGTGCAAAATCGTGACCGTTCATGCTGTCGGCAAGGACAAGTCACACGTGAAAATGATGACGGTCGGTAACAAGCATACCTGTTCCGCTTGCGACGGCAAGGTGACGGTTGAAGGTACTGGCAAAGGAAAGGGCAAGCATCAAGAAGTAAAGCATGTCTGCGGCAAGTGCGGCGATGATGCGATGTTTGTGGTTGCGACGAAGGCGGACGATCACGACAAGCACAGTCAGCACAAGTAGTTTGACTTGTTGGAATGCCCTGAAGAACCGCGTGGCTCGTGCATCAAAGCTCACGGAGGTGCGCTCGGTGTTCGGGCCGCGTGTTGTTTGCTGAACGGGAATCTGAAAGGCTGCCATGTCAGACCATGACGACATCTTCGAGAACGCGCTTCTTCGACTCGACCGAGCGGCTCAGTTTGTACAGATTGATCCAGAAGCACTGGAGCGCCTGAAACATCCGAAGTCGGTCGTGCATGTCAGTATTCCAGTTCGGATGGACGACGGATCACTGCGAAGCTTTGAAGGCTACCGTGTCCGACACGACGACACTCGCGGACCGACCAAGGGAGGAATCCGCTTTCATCCGCAGGTGCATCTTGGTGAAGTCAAAGCACTGGCGTTTTGGATGACCTGCAAGTGTGCGGTTGCGGGCATTCCTTTTGGCGGTGGAAAGGGAGGCATAATTGTCAATCCGAAAGAGCTTTCCCGAATGGAACTGGAGCGACTCAGTCGCGGGTTCGTCCAGCAGCTCGCCGATTTCATTGGTCCTGACACAGACATTCCGGCTCCTGATGTCTATACAAACTCAATGATTATGGGCTGGATGATGGATGAGTATTCCACGATCCAGCGGCAACGCACCCCGGATGTCATTACTGGCAAACCGATCCCACTTGGCGGCAGTCTTGGTCGCGATGATGCCACCGGACGCGGCGCTTACTACTGCATCAAAGAATTGGAGCGGTTCAACAACTGGACTCGCGGAAACGTGCGAGTTGCCGTTCAGGGATTCGGAAACGCTGGTCAGCACGTAGCACGCCTGCTTCATAAGGACGGTTACCGGTGTGTGGCCATCAGTGACTCCAAAGGCGCAATCTATCGCGAAGATGGAATAGATATTCCGCGGGCGATCGAACTTAAGCAGTCTCAAACGTCCATCTCGAACGTGTACGACGAACGAAGTGTTTGTGACTGTCCGGAATGTGGATGTGTGGACTGTCATTGCAAATCAAATGATGCTGGCAGTGGTGCTGTTATCACGAATGAGCAGCTACTTGAGTTGGACGTTGACGTGCTGATTCCGGCTGCCTTAGAGAACCAGATCACCGGCGAAAATGCCTCGCGAATCACGGCTCCCTACATCGTCGAAGTTGCCAACGGTCCAACAACGACGGAAGCCGACAACATCCTGAAAGAACTGGGGGCGACAGTTGTTCCCGACATCTTGGCCAATGCTGGCGGCGTCACAGTCAGCTACTTCGAGTGGACTCAGAATCGAGCGGGCTACTACTGGAGCGAGAAGAAAGTGCAGGAGCGGTTGCAGCGGATCATGGCTCAAGAATTCGAAGCTGTTCACGATCTGAGCGTCGAAGCCGAAATCGACATGCGAACTGCTGCCTATGCCCACGCACTCAATCGTATCGGCGAAGCGATGGAATCGCAGGGAACAAGTCGATACTTCAACTCAGTGATGAAGGTGACATGAACGAAAAGAATGGAAACACAATCAGCAAGTCGACACCCGGTCTAACATGGCTTGCCACGTTGTTTGCCATCGTGTTGTTGCTTCTCACGGCTGCTTCGACCACAAACGCTCAGGTTTCCCAAGAAGAACACGCCCAGCATCATCCGGGGCAAACCGGGGATGCAAAAGGCGGTCCCGGAATGGGAGGCCCACCCGAAGGTGCCGGTCCGCAAAATGGCATGGGCGGCGGTATGGGCGGAATGATGGATGGCATGATGGAGAAAATGGCTGCGCCCAAGCCCAAGGACCTCTACCCGTCCTTGATGGAGCTGCCTGACCTGCCGATAGAGCGTCGGGGCGAACTTGAGCAGGAAGCTCATGGCCGAATGATCGCCGGAACTCGCTTGTTGGGCGAAGGCTTTGAGGAGTTATCTCGTTCTGCTGCCGGCGATGACTTTGCGGCGATGCAGTCTGCCACGGCCAAGATTCGCGAAGGCTTGAGNNCGCACATCGTGCCTTGCGAGAAGGGAAGGCACCGCGAGACGTCGCTTTGCAGTGGTTCAAACGCGAACTGAACATCGACGACTCGGTCAATGTAGCCCGATCTCAGGCACTACTCTGGGGAATGTCGCCGTTTCATGCCAGCGTGATGGTTGTCTTAATCGCGTTTGCGGTCGCCATGATCTGGATGTACTTCTTCAAGATGCGACGCGCGGCGTCACTGCTGGAAAAGCTGTCCACTCCAAACGCCATCGCCGAAGGTGTCGGAGTCCAAAGCGGGTCCGGTCGTACGGCCCCATCGACCGAGAGTGCCTCGTCAGTCGAAACGACGCCTAAACAAACGGCAACTCAACTTTCAGAACCTGCTGATTGTTGTGCGACCGGCGACGGCTGTCCTACCGAAGCTCCCGCCGACGGGATTGATTCCAGCGGGTTGATTCCAGTCGCCAAGAAAACTCTCTGTCGACTACGAGTCGCAAAGATCACGCAGGAAACCGAAGACGTGAAAACCATTCGCCTTGTGGCCTGCCACGGCGGTCGAATTCCGTTTAACTACCTACCCGGCCAGTTTCTGACTTTTACGCTGCCGGTTGGCGAAAAACCGATACGACGCAGCTACACAATTTCGTCGGCTCCAACCCAAGCATACTACTGTGAAGTCACCGTCAAACGAGAAGATAAGGGTGCGGGGTCACGGTACCTCTGCGATGAACTTAAAGTCGGTGACACACTGGAAGTTAAAGCCCCCAGCGGGCGGTTTACGTTCACAGGCGAGGAGTCGGACAGGGTGGTGCTGATCGCTGGTGGAGTTGGAATTACGCCGATGATGAGTGTCACGCGAGCGCTAACAGATATGTGCTGGCCCGGTGAGATTCACTTCATCGTCGCCTGCCGCGATCCAAAGCACTTTATCTTCGAGTCAGAAATCAAACGGCTTGAAGAACGATACGACAACCTGCACGTTCACGTTGCCATGAGTCGCATTGATCAGGAAATCAACGGCTATCGCAAGGGAAGACTTACTAAGGAATTGCTGGCCGAGTGGGTGCCGGATATAGCATCACATCGAGTTCACATCTGTGGCGCTCCAGCGATGATGGACGCCACCAAAGCCATGCTGTCCAAACTCGGTGTTCCGGTTGAGAACATCCATACAGAGAACTTCGGTTCCACGCAAAAGCCCAAGGCTAAAGTTGCCAAGGGTCAGGAAGCCCATGAGCCGAAGGCGACGGGAGCCAAAATCACGTTCGCGAAGTCTGATAAGTCCACTGAACTTTTGGCCGATGAAACGCTTCTCGAAGCGGCTGAGCGAGTCGGAGTAGGCATCGACTATTCCTGCCGTGTCGGGACGTGCGGCATTTGCCTCGCGAAGTTGCTCTCCGGCGATGTGACGATGGAAGTCGATGACGGCTTGGAGCCGGAAGACCGCAAAGCTGGCATGATTCTGTGTTGCCAAGCGAAAGCGAAGCAAGACGTGAGCATCGAAGCGTGATGTTGGAGAAGCCGATTCGATGAAAGAGAAGGAAAAGATCGTCGTCACGGGCTTGGTCATGCTGATGTTGCTTGCATGGCTTGGCTTTCCGCTGCACCACGCTCATCGGTTTGCAGGGAGTTTCTGGGGAGGAGTCTTCGGAGTAACCGGAGCGGCCCTGATGCTCGTTCCGTTGGCCTACCTAATCGTCAAGCGAAACAAGAAACTCAAGCAGACCGTCACCAAACACGTTTCGATGCGAACGCTGTTGGCTTGGCACATTTACGCGGGAGTGCTTGGTCCGATTTTGGTCATCATTCACAGCGGACATAAATACGAAAGCGTCGTAGGTATTGCGCTGACGGCAATGACCCTGCTGGTCGTCGTGAGTGGGTTCATCGGACGCTACCTGATGTCTGGTTTCGCCAAGGAAATTCGCGAGAGGAAGGCGATGTTGACGGAATTGCAAACAGCCTATGATGAAGCCAGTGTTGCTGTCGGGTCCAATCCGGAGGCGGCAAATACCCTGCGGCCGTTCTCTGGATTCTTTAGCCGCTTGATGGCTGGCTTCTTCTTGTCGGAACCGACTACGGAGCCGTCGGTTGCCAAAGCCAATTCGATCACGCTGGTCCGTCTGGCTGAGTCCATAGCAGACGTGGAATACGCGATTCGGACTCACGAAGATTTCAAAACGTGGTTCGGCAAGTGGCTGAAGTTTCACATTGCCATTTCGTTCATCCTGTACGGGTTGATGTTTATCCATGTCAATTACGCCGTCTACTTCGGCTTGCGTTGGTTCGAGTAGAAGGAAATCGGATGATTCGCTGGACAATCGTTACTCTTGTTCTCATCACCGCGGCAATTGCCTACGGAGCCGGTTGGATTCCGAACGAAGCGAAGGAGTTTGCTGCGCATTCGATGCATCAAGCCGTCAATCCCGGCGATCTCTCGGCGGCTCACGCAAGTCTGGCGAACAACTGCCAAGCCTGTCACACACCCGTGAAGGGAGTCGATACGGCAAAGTGCATCCTGTGTCACGCGAACAACGAATCGATCCTACAAAGGCAACCAACTGCGTTTCATTCGAGTGTCAATACATGTAAGGAGTGTCATCTCGAACATCGAGGCCTCGACGCGAAGTTGTCGCAAATGGACCACTCGTTGCTGACCGGCATCGGAATGAAACAGATGCAGAAGGCTGAGTCCGGTAGCGAAGAACTGGCGGCCTACTTACGGCTTAGCGAGAAGCTGGAGACAAGTGTTGCCCCACATTCGCGGATCGGACTTGAAGAATCCGTTCTGGATTGTGCCTCCTGTCACTCGAACGATGATCGACACCAAAGCCTGTTTGGGGCGAATTGTGCTCAGTGCCATGCAACCGACCGCTGGACGATACCGGAGTACAAACACCCGTCAGCCAAGTCGAATGATTGCAGCCAATGTCATCAGGCTCCGCCGAGCCACTACATGATGCACTTCAACATGATCTCCGCCCGTGTGGCGGGCAAGCCGCACGCCAGAGTCGATCAGTGCAGCCAATGCCACCAGACAACATCGTGGAACGACATCAAACGAGTCGGCTGGTACAAGCATCATTGAGGAGACCATGAGCTATGCCTGAAACCACCACCATCGTTGAACATAACGTCATCTTGATTGTCGGCTGGGTGAAGCTGGCGATTGAAGTGTTCGGGGCGACGCTGGTGACGATTGGCGTGTGTGTGGCAATCGTTCACTGGATTCGCACGGTTAGGAGTGGAAAGGAGCAAGACTTCGCCCAGACACGGCTTATTCTCGCTCGATACCTTTCGTTGGCTCTTGAATTCCAACTTGGGGCGGACATTCTCGGGACAGCGGTGTCGCCAAGCTGGGACCACATTGGAAAGCTTGCGGCCGTAGCTGTCATCCGCACCGGCTTGAACTACTTCCTCATGATGGAAATGAAGGCTCAGG